CTCAGTGTTTTGTAAACTGATAGCAGGCCAGTTTAGACTAACAGACTGAGAAGCCATGGAAATAATTGTAAAGACAAACTAGATTAAATCCTACAGGGAAACAAAATATGACCAATAGGTGAGTTTTTAGGAACAGACCAAATGGAGCATCAGTACAGACCACATGCTTTATACCCACTTTAAATATGTCCCAAATTAAGCTAATTCTTTGGTAAAAAGTTAGACAGTATCACTTCAGGCGAATTATGAAACATTCTGGAATTTGTCCTGTCTATAAAACTCAGTCCTTCCTATAGGGATATCCTGATCAGATATTAAATATTATCTGAAATCAGACATTTATCACCTAACATAATATTGGAATATATCGGCCTGCATCTACAATCTCAGATATAATCCAGCTGAAACTGAAATGGGTTAAAGAAACTCTTTCTTTATGTTTCTGTAACCATAAATTGGTCGGTTGTTCTCCTACCTGTTCTTGTTATTATTTATTGTAGTAATACCATCTGACCAAGCTTTTCCTACTATCCCCCATTACGAAATGAGCTTTTTAAAAATATGAATGAGTCATGCTGGTATCGTATCAGGTATGTTTGGGTATTGTTCATTAATCAGAGCTCCATTATCAGTATCGTATCAGAGATAGATGTCTTTAAACATCCCAAGTTTTTACCATTTCTACCGCTTTCGTAAAAAAAGTAAAACAGCCTTTTGTCAAGAACAACAATCTTTGGCAGTGCTGCGTTTAACTGTAGTATATAGCCTCAGTCACACACAAGGACATTCTAAGACAAGATAATCAAACTATATGAAGGTAATGAAGAAATCAGTTCTGCAGCTTAGAAATTAAAACTAAATAAAGGTTAAAAGACCACTGGCTGAACCAGCTGATTGGCTTTGTTACTTAAAAGTGTGTTAATCTACATGCGTGACGCACAGCCATCTGAAATATAAGATATAATGGGAAAGCCTATTGAGCTGGGGTCCTTGATGGTGGTAAGGCCGCCCAAATCTCCTGGATCAGCCCCTAAAACATCTATCAGCTCTGGATGATCTGGTGCTGAGAGAGATTTCTAAGAAGGTTGTGTTGAATTGTAAATGCTTTGAGACCCTTAGCAGTTTAACTAAAGCTGCACAAACAAACTTTAAAAGACAGCACGTCCTCTGAAGGTAAAAATCACCATAAGCTTGTTTTAAAAAAAAAAAAAACTAAATCAATCCTTGATGACAGGATAATGCATTTTGCTTTAGAGTGCAAGTCAGCGTTGAATGAAACAGCACACAGGGTGTCATTGAACTGGGTTGTTCCTACTTTGTTAACCACATAGCATAACTATAAAAAGCTTAAACTTATCCATGATGTTTCTACAGTCTGTAGGTTTTGGCTTGTCTGCTTTGAAGCGATGAATGATAAAAGTAAGCTTGTGAAAGCTAATGTTTTAAAAGGGAAACTTAAAATGGTTTATTTTAATGTGCAATTCAGTGATAGGCTGCAGCTAGATTTGTCTGCAAAAAAATTTAAAGAAGTGAAAGTCAACAAGACCATGCATTGTCTCTGAACGGTCTGCACAGGATGTTATCTCCAAGAAAACCATGAACTTTCTATCATGGGTGATGGGGGATTTAGAGCTAACCTACTGTTCTGTGTGTGAATAATTTCTTACTTAGAGGCAGTATACATATAAATGATGTCTGATCTATGTGCATCTGCATAAAATGGCCCACAAAGAACATGAAACCAAACTGGTTATGCTCGCCTCATGCCAAAGTCACCACTTATTCACACCCACACAGAGCTAAATCTTCTAACATCTGCTTCCTTCTAAAAATAAAATCTTCTTACAGAGGTTCCTCGTCAGCCTATATGCATTGAGGACAGAACCTTTTGGTGCTGATCTCCTTATGCATTAGATAACCCAGCTGAAAAGACGTGCACACATCTCCAAATTGCACATATAGCCAAGGGAGTTGTTTTTTTTCCCAATCTGCAGCATTAATTTTAAAATGTTTTCATCATTACAGCAGAACAAACTACTTAATGTTGGTTAAAGACATCAGAAGTCTGAGGTTTATGAAAAGTTGCACCAACAGTTCTTCATTTATATCTTTTTGAGAGCATGAAGCACCAAGAAAAGGGGACAGTATCCGTCAAAAACACAGGAACCTTTCTGTTTTATGCAGAAACAGTGTATGCAGAACAGCAGATCCTGGGAACTTTTCGTGTGTGGTTATCAATACTGCGTGATATGCTAGAATATAAAACACCATACAGGGTCTGTAGAAATACCTCCAACCTCTATGCAACCACAATGTGTGCTACTGAAGAGCAGCAGCTACAGCAGCAAACTGCCAAACACATATATAATGTTTCTGTTGGTTTTGCTTTGTGTCTGGGAGGAAAATATTAGGAAGAAGAAGCTTGCATTCTTCAACCCCACCCATCCTAAGCAGCGAGGAGACAGCAGCACTTGTGCAGAAATATAATCACAATGTTGTTTTTTTTATTACTGTCTGTTCTTTGGCTTGGGTATTAAAACTAGTCCAGTGTCACACAGAAAAATCAGTTGGTTTCTCTTGCTATGCTCACTTTTTGCACAAATTCAGACTATTTGATCTCTCTCTGTTGCATCTTCCCATACACTGTATCCCCGTCTCACTGATATGCTTTGTATCCTCCTTAGCTTCTAAACTATCAGTTACAAAAGTTGGCTGCGTATAATTCACTTATGTATCACTGAAAGTTTCTTTCTGTTAAAATTATTAGTTTCTCTCCACTTTCACTGCATGCTTGTTCATGAAAGGAGATTGTTGCAAAGTCAATTCCTTGTTGAAATATGCTGATTTGTTTAAATAATAACAATGAATTAAATCTAAATTTTAAAACTGTTTCTCAAACTGACCTTTAGGATTGATTCAACATCAGAGGAACGTTGAAAACTTGCAGGACTCCAGCCCTCTATGATTAAAGTTGCTTTTAAGTATCATATTCATTTGTATGGATTGCAGTGGGATGAACTACAATGATTTCGACAAACCTGGTTTCCATATACCTAGAAATGCATTTCTTTGTCTTGTAAAATGCCTTGAGATGACTGCCTTTCAAAAATTATCCAGTAAAACTAACTTGACTTCGAAGAAAATACATGTATTACGCTCTCTTATACAGTTTGGAAAAAAAAACTAACTAGGATAGCAAAGATATTAACACATATACTTGTGTCTGTAGTTGAATAATTCAATAGTGATTAGAAATATATAAAAATAAAAAGGATTGGGAAGTTTTGCCACCCACAGTCATCTTATAAGGCTAGGAACACATTGAATATTTGACTGACTGAATGACAGAAAGACATTTTCCTTCACGCTTATCCCTGCTGGGATTGTGAGTGGTGCTGGTGCCTATCTCCAGCGTTCTACGAGCGAGAGGAAGGGTCCACCCTGGACAGGTCGCCAGTCTATCGCAGGGCAACACAGAGACAAACAGCCATAGGAGTGGCAGCCTAGTGGTTAGGTCATAGAGCTTGGAATCCTGACGTTTCGAGTTCTAGCCCTACTTCCCCCAAACTGCCACTCTGGGTCTCTGAGCAAGACCTTTAACCCCTGATTGCTCCCTGGGCGTCACACGATGGCAGCCCACTGCTCCCCAAGGGGATGGGTTAAATGAAGAGGTACATTTCTCAAATCTGAGATTAATAAAGTTCAATTAATATTTATTCACTCACACCTAAAGAGAATGTAGAGACTCGTAGGTTAATTTTGCCAATTGATTGCTATATAGACTGTAGGAGGAAGCCGGAGTACCCAGAGAGAACCCATGCATGCACAGGGAGAACATGCAAACTCCATGCAAAAGGACCCCGGCTTGTAAGTTTGCTGCAAGGCAGTAGTGCTACCCACTGTTCCACTAAGCAGCCCCAATTTAAAATTCCTAATCATAAATTCCTGCATAAAACATCTATGCAACATATATACACAGTAAAACAGTTTAGAGAGAACTGATCACAAAAAAACAAAGCAAATCTAAGCCCAAAACATAAATCTCCAAGATTTAAAACCACGTAGAGATGCTGAACACTCCCTCTGTCCAAATAAACGTGACATTTCTTACACAAAATGTCGACACAAAATCTGTCTGTGGAGTTGGAAGAAGTCTGAACCAGTCACATGCATGGAGTTAAAAAGAGCAGAATATCCTGAATAAGAACAGCTCCCACAGAGAGCAAACAGACGTCTCCTCCTAGGAAGAGATGAACTCTAACATAATAACTATAATAATGCATGGAAACCCACCCTCAGCAAGCCAGGACGGTTTTTGTTTTCAAGATTTATTTGTTTTTACCATTAAGAAAAGATGAGAAATAGACAGTTGCAAATATAAATAGGTAAGTGAATTAAAAAAAAAAACATAGGAGGAAATAAACAAACCACCCATACTGGAACACAGAGCCACTCTTTTGTAGCTTAGTAGATTTTACAAGCTGCAATAGTTGTCAAACAGGATGAGGGTTTGTTTTTTTTCAAAATGCCAGCAACGAAATCTCTTTCTAAAACTATCCTGTAAATGTGCAAAATGCATTCAATCGCAAATGTACAATTTTAACCCTGAAATCCATTTAAATGTTAAGCAGATCAGAGCTTTATGCAGAAAAATATCATAACTTTAGTTACATAAAGTAGGCTATATACAAACTAAAACAAAATATAAATTAATTCAATTACATCTTAGTAACTAAAGACCTTGTAATAACATGGTTTATATGTTATTTTCCAGGCAGAGACTCAGTATTTACCTGGTGGGAGATGTAAACTCCCACAGAGCTGTTTTCTCCTGGATTAGTGAACTACATGTTAGTCAATAAAAATTCATTTATCTGCTCGTTTTTGTATTAAAGTCCGGTTTAATGTGATTATCTCAGTCGGAATCTGATATAAAGGGTTAAATGATTCAGGAAAAGTTAGAGGAAACTTATTCTGATGGATTTTGAATGAAAACTCACAGATAAGAAAGAGAAGCAGAAGCTCCGGCACTGATCTGATGGACTTCATCTGTATCCGAACACCAACAGTCCGTCTCTTTTCTCCAAAATAATAATAAAACTGAATCAAGCTTTCATAATGCGTCTCCTCCAGCCCAGAGCCGACAGACAGGTGCCAGGTGTGTTTTCCTTCAGCTCCTATGAAGGTTTCCAGGCTGGTTTTCCCACAGTGGGACAGAAAGGTAGCAGCAGTGAGGCTGAAGCTTCATTCCAGGTGACTGACTGAGAGCAAAGTGAGGAGGATCACATTAAACACACAGAGCAGGACAGCAGAGCGATAGCTTGGTTTAACACTAACTCCATCTGCTTGTCACGCAGAAGGACTCCTCAACCTGCGCAGCCTTTTGCGCTGCTACACCTGTCGGCTTTAACCCCGCCCCTAAACGGATACTTCACGCCCTCCCAAAAATGAGGCGTTCAAGGGGCTGAGAAAAT